CTTTACTGTAGTTGCATCATGCAGGCTAGTGTAATTACACCATGCAGGTTTCGGAATAAATCAAGCGTAAAGGGAACCTAAATGGTAGATTCCATTTTCTTTTCCATTATCCCAATATAGACCCCAATATAACCCTAATATCCTAAACCCTAAACCCCTAAACCCTAAACCCTAATACCATCCACACAGGCGCTTGCGTCCAGGCGACTTTCTCTGAACATCGGAGATGGGCGTTTCTCAAAAGTAGGGGTACCTACTATAATGGAGAATCAAATGGAAAAGAAAATGGAAAATGAAATGGAAACCCTAGGTCCCCTTAAAGGGGTATATAGGGATATTACCCCCAATAATGGAGAATCAAATGGAAGAAAATGGAAAATGACATGGAAACTGGGATTATGTAGGAGATTATAGAGATTAGGGTTTCTCAAAAGTAGGGTGCCCCCCCGACGCCGCGCAGCCTCGAAAAAAGGGCGAAACAGATGTTCAAAGGGTCCACTTACATAGTGAACTTTTCAGAAGGCAAAGTACCTAGGAAGGAATACCTTTGTACTGCCTTATGCAGGTGCTTCGATGCTAATGCTGGAGCTTGCTTCGGCAAAGCGATTTCACCAAGAAAAAACATGTAGGGTTTGGGGATAGTGGAGAGTCCAATGGAATAGAACATGGAGATTGACACGGAAACCGGGCTTCTGCAGTGGTTTATCTTACTGGTGATATGTAGGGAAGAAGGGAAGCCCCTCCTTAGAAACTCCTTATATGATATTTCCCTGGTTCCCTACTAACCACCAGTATGTTATGGGGATGTGAAGAAGAAAAGTCTTCAACTCGCACTGCTCCAAAAGCGTTTTGGGTTGCTTCTCTTTGCACAAAGATTCAAAGGGCACCGGCTGCGCGAAGGGATACAAAGTCTGGTTTCCGCTGCTCTTACTGAGACAGATGGAAGGCTGTGAAGATTGAGACCTTTAAAGGGGTTCTATGGGAGTTTTATAGGAAATATATGGGTGTTATATAGCGATTTTTGGGGTTTAGGGTTTCCCAAAATTAGGGGTACCTTTGGGGGTCGCAGTAATAAGAATTATAGCATTTAGGGATCTACACTGGAACCCCCTTGTTTAAATTCACTACCAGATGACCGTCCCCTTTTGGGTAGTGTATACATCTACGAGGACTCACCACAGAAGGAGAGTTTCCAATGAAGGGACTTTATATAAAGGGTATATAAGGGGTAGGACAATGGGGAGTTATACATATCGGGTATATAAGGCTCGTATAGGGTCCCTACATGCTAGCTCCCTTCCTGTGATTGCCTTTCAAATTTAGTAAGGGCCGTATTACAAGAACTCCTAATCGGGCCAAAAAATTAAATCCTAAAACTCCTCGCATGAAGACTCAGAGCCCCTATGCGGACCCTTGATCAGCTCCCTGGTGGCTAGTAGGGAATGGGGTTCAAGGTTTAGGGCTCAGGGTGTAGGGTCTAGGGAATGGGGTAATGGGGCTATCATGTATGCCTAGAATCGTAGGGTCCTAGTGTGCAGAGTTGAGGTTTCGAGACCCCTCATGAAGAATGAAGATCCATTTCTTCATTTCCTACCCATAACTCCTAAACGCAAAAGAATGCAGTGGTTTCCGGTCGCGTTTCCAAGCACCAGGCATTTGGGTCTGCGCCTACTCCAGATGCCCGCACATGAAAGAGTGCCAAAGCACAAGGCAGGCTTTGTACGGCTTCGGAAGCATGATTCAAGGATCCCAGCCCCCGAAATTAGGACCCTAGAGCTACCATGACAACGCCGAAGACTAGAAATCACTTTCGCGGAAGAGCCGCGGAAGCACCTTAGACAAAAACGTCCGCGGAAGTGCCCGCGGAAGCACAGCGTCGGAAAACCTGCCAGTAGTCTTCGCGCAGGTTCCGCGGCGGAAGCTTCCGTATTTCAATTAAATGTATATACCTATTTGTTTAACGGGCTCATGTGACGATTACAGACGCCGGGCTTTTACGAGCGGCCTGTCTATGCTTCGAAATCTAGACGACGTGCGTGTGACCAGAAATCAAGCCTGCAAGTGATTCTGAGATGAATAACCTGGTCTTTGGTTAGCTGGGAAGGAAGGAGTGGAGAAGAACATGGAAACTACTATAATGGGTTCTGTAGGGACTACTTTAAGGATCCAGTCCTCCATTCCTAGCTAACCAAAGGCCAGCAACAGCGCGGATCGCAGTAGGCTGAAAAATCGGGGTAGTTCGGATCATTCTCGGGTAGCAGTGTGGCTTCTAATTAAGGGTTACAAGTAGGTGTACTTACTCTGCCACAAACTTTCCAAGCCACTTAGGCCATTCCCTTTTACAGTTACGGTTACCACAAAAGGTAACATGTTTGAATGGCACCCGGAAGTCACTGGGAGGGGGAATGGCCCAACCCCAAACCCTCAACCCTAATCCTGAACTCTAAACCTTAAACCCTCAACCCCAAACCCTGCACCATAAACCTTACACTCTCAAAACCTAAACCCTAAACCCAAGACTTGAGCTGCCGATCACGTTTTGTAGCTCAAAGGGCTATTCCTGGCCCTGAGCACTGGAGCCAATTTTAGGGAGACCCCCCCCCTTCCCCCGCAAATTCACGATTCAAGTTCGTGGTTTAGGGTTCAGGGTACCCCCACAGGACAGATTCCCAAATCTGAGAATGATAGGAAAACATTCAAGTTCCAACCAGGCTATAACTACCATCTAGAGAACACAAGTGTTCCAAAATATACTTGCTTTGAAGTTTCGAAGCAACATGGCAATGTCGGTCTTTTGTTCTTGCCACTTCCTAAACCCTAAACTCTGCCCCACTATCTCAAGCTGAACTCCACCCCTAAGTCCACAAGCAGTCAACCCCAACCTTTCAGGCAACCCAACTACGGCGTCTCTCAAACTATGCGAGATTCTAGCGGCCCCAAGGAGATACTAGCGGATTTTGAATTGAATTCTCCCTGCATGGGGTATGCAATTCAGAGCCCTTTCCATCAAATTCCGCATCTCAGAACAATGCTAATAGTAATCATACTAATAGTGGTAACAATAAACATACTTATAGTCGTAATACTTCTATGATAGTACTGATACCAATAACAGTAATCGTAGTAAGAATATGAATAGCAACAAGATGCATAATCTCACCTGCCAAGTCCTAGCAGCTACAACCCCAGAGATTTCAATCCGTGAGCTTATTAGCACATACCTGGGTTGCTGTTAAAGAACTTAAGCTAACTTGCTATACCAAAGAAATCCTATTACTCACCATGTACCCAGAAAAGGGTAACTTGGATTAAGTTGCAACCCAGTTGCTTGGAGTCCCAAGGACGTGGCCTTCCCTATGCCTTGAGCAAAGGTAATTTTGTTAGAATTTTTTTCTTGGGTGCACACCCTGCATTCGTACATAAGTATATTTAGAATCCCTATAGCCGCTTAGTAACCCCAGGTATCCCTAGTATGAACCTACTTACTGTATAAGCCCCCTTAACCCTAAACCTCACGCCCGAAATAGCAGCTTCCGTTTTCTTTTCCATTATTCGCCTACTTGCGGTTTGTTTCGTCCGGATAAGGCCATAACTGGACTTTGGTATGCTGGGAATGGAGGAATGGAGAAGAAATGGAAGCCAGTATAATGGGTTATACAGGGACTACTACAAGGATCCATTCCTTCCTAGCTAACCAAACGTAAGATTAGCCCACGGGAGGATATAGAAAGTAGATCCCCTGAAAGGTTCCTAGAAATCCGCCAGTAGTGGTACAGGGTACGTACCCTATTGGAGTGCTCCGCTTGCAACCGTTGTTTGATCTGAAGTGTAGACCCTCAATCCAAAGTCCCCTAAGCCGCGCGCCCTAGACCTCTAAACCCTAAACCTCTAAACCCTAAGCCCTAAACCCTAACCTCTAAACCCTAAACCCTAAACACGCGGTTTAGGGTTTAGGGCTTTACCTTCCGAATCGAGCCTGTGCCGTACGCAACATGAGAGACAATTCCATGGCTCGTCCTGGCCTTCCAGCATCTTGGGCCTCTTTGAGAATGGTTTAGGGATTAGGGTTTAG